AACTGAGCACACCCCCCCCCCCACACACACACATCCATTCAAAAGAAGTGTAACAAGCTATCATTAGACATGTCAGGTTATTCACATGTCTCTACCTCCTTTCTCTCCTGAAGTGTCACTAAAAATGCTAGTCAAGAAGTAAAATGGTAAATATGCTCAAGAGCAAACAGAATGGTAAAGAGACATTAGCGGATAAGAGACCTCAGCAAACTCTGGGAAACTGGAAAGCAGATGGAAGAATGAGGGAGGGCTGATATGGAAAAAGTTAGTCTCTTAAGGGCTCCCAGAGGGGGAGACTGACATGAGGCAAGCCACTTCTGTCTCAGAACCATGGGGGAGCTCAGACCTTGGGGAGACCAGGTATTATGATGGTGGGGGTCAAGTACAGAGAGCGCAGCGAAAGGAACCAGGGCCACTGTTTGGAATCCTCCCAGATCCCACGTCACATTCTGTCCAACACAGCAGGAGGCTGCAGACACTAAATGGGAGAGACCCTGGCAGAAGAGAGGGCAGATGGACACAAGGATGTAAATGCAGGAGTGACGGCAAGTCTGCATACCCCACCCTGCCCAGGCGTGTATCATCCTGGACCACAGTACAGTGAATTCCAAACATGGCTACAAAAATTTTTGACACTTTTTGAGAGGGAGGACTCTTCCCCTTTCCTTAATCTGGGTGGGCTTGTATTACAGAGGAAGTGATGTTATGTGACTTCCAAAAGGCCCTGCAGCAGCTTCCGTATTGCTGGCAGGAACATTCACACTAGAATCCTGAGCTACAACACAAGAGGCCCAACTACCAGGCTGTTGTCCTGGGGAGGCCATGGGTCATCTGCCTGGTCTCCAGTCCTGCTGCACCCAGTCTTCCAGCTATCCCTGCCGAGTGAAGAACCATGTTGGAAGTGGATCCTTCAGCTGCAGCTGGTTCCAACTTTCAGCCATCTCAGACACTGTTGAGCAGAGAAGAGCCATGCCTTTTCCCAATTCCTGACTTGCAGCACAACAAAGTGGTTGTTGTTTATGCTACTAAGTATTGGTGTGGTTTGTTAGGCAGTAATAGTAATTGGAACAGGAGTTAGAACCCCTCTCTTGAGAGGCTGTGGGGCTCTAGAGCAATGGTACTTAAGGAGGTAATTTTGCTCCCCAGAGAACATTTGGTGAGGTTTGCTGACATTTTTGATTATCACCACTCTGGGAGGAGGGTTACAACAGGCACCTGGAGAGCAGAGTTCAGTGATACCACTAAACATCCTACAACAAAGAATTATTTGGCCCCGAGTGTCAACATGCCGAGGTGGAGAAAGCCAGCTCTAGAGAAAAGAGTCTGACATTAAGAGGCTTGTTAATGAAAAGACTGGCTTGCTTCCTAGAGTGATGCCCCAGGCAAGTTTCCCCCAAATACAGTTTAATTCAGCTTTTTATTGCCTCACTTATAAATATCAATAGATATTTCTGATATTTGAGGAAAACTTCCAATGTGGAAGAGAGAGAGAGAGAAAACAAAAAGAAGCCAGGTGGAAACAAAGACAATTTAGAGGATAGAAAAATATTAAAAACTAAGAGACAAATGAAAAATAAGTAATACCTTCAGAGAAATAAATGGGAGATAGTGTATCCATAAAACAAGACTGCAATATTATGAAAAAGAAGCAATCAGAAACAAGAATGAGTATTTGTATATTAAAAATATAAAAGCCAAAAATTTTAAAAATCAAGAAAGTATTTACAAAAGGCAAATGGAGGGGAAATAAAAGAGAAAACATAAGAAAATTAGATGATTAATCCAGTAGGTTCAACACGTAAAACAGAGGGGAGAAGATTATCAAAGAATTAATTTTTTCCCCCAGAACTCAAGGACAGATAACATCACACATGACTTAGCACAGCAGTAAAGAATGTCTACATTCACTATGTGTTGAGTTAACCAAAAATCTTGTTAGTCTTACTGGAAGGATGGAAGAAGAAGAACTGGAGGTGGTTTTGTAGGTGAGCTCAATTCTCAGATACCACAAGAAGTCCACAGAGGTCTAAAACTGGTAAATCAAGAAATAACATCATAAATAGAAACAGAAAATAATAAAAGGGTTGAGGGGGGTTCCTCTGAACAGAGTGGGGTAGAAAAACATCGAGAGAGGATTTTTATTAATATTATAAGCCTCTACTTTGTTTAAACCATATGCATGCATTATTTTGATAAATTTGAAAAAATAAACATTTATTAAAAATGAATCCAATAAACAAATTGCAGTGTGATGGGATTAAATTTGATTATTTGGAAAATTCACCCAGGTGGGCAAACCATGCCCCAAGAATGCTCAATAAACTGGCATGGGCAGCACAGAGCTCATTCATGTGGAAGAAGTCTGCTGATATCACTGGTCAGCAGCTGGTGGGTGGGAGAAGGGGTGGGGACAGGGGGGTGGCAGAGCAGCCCTTGGGCAGGCATCACCAGACCCCTTTCCCAGCAGGTTGTATTTGCTTGGGAGACCCTGCCCTTGAGCGTGGATTCTGAGGGCGGGCCAAGAGCTGAGCCCGTGGCTGCAGCCCCGCCCTGCAGGTTGTCTCCGCAGCCAACCGCGACTACACACACTCCTTATCATCTGATGGGTCACCATATCTCCTACCAGAGGCTCCCCAGGTTGGCAAAGTGGGGAACGTGCTTGTGAGGTCTGGGGCCTTACCTCTGAGGTACATTTAAATGGGCACCAGCCCTCAAGCCTAACCATCCTTTTCCTTCACCCACTCACTGACTGTCACCCCTCTCCCTCTCCACTACTTTCTACTTCAATCCTCAGGAGCTTTGCCCTGGAGACTGCTCAGTTGGCCTGCCTGAAGTTTGTTTTCTCTTTTAAACCTTTCCAACTGTTACTTCCTTTTTAAAAATTACATCATCATTATATAAGTGTGGATGAAAAATACTGCCTGCCATATCAGCAAACAAAGGATGCTATGACCATCAAGCCATCAGTCATTACCGCCACTCCCAATGGTGAGCCTGAGATACTGGCCAGAATACTGGCCTTAGACAGCTAAGGTGCATATCAAAGGAATGATTTCAATAAGCCTAGACTCTTGCATCTTCCCATACACAGAAAAGCGCTAAATTCATTAACTTGAGGTGTCTGATTTTCTTTAATTAACAGTAATGTTTTTATGTTCTTACTACCTGCTTTTTGTGGCGAAACTCCTTTGTATCCTGGCTCCTCCCTTACCTTACCTCTTTGAGAACAGTCCCCCAGAGCTATCTGAGAGGCTGACTCCCAGGCTTGAAGTCCTCATAAAATTCATGGAATAAGACACAATTCTCATTTAGGCTGCATTTTTTTTTCCAGTCAACATAAGTAACATGTATTCCTTGCAGAAAAGTTTTAAACTGTTGAAAATCATCTATAATTCTAACCAGCCAAATAAAATCAATATTTGTCTATGAATTTGCAGAATGTTTCCACGTTTCCTCACAGGTAGGTATCCAGGAAAAGTACTACTGTTTCATGTTTCATCTGAATACCACCAGCACTCACTACATGTTGGACCCTGAGCTGGGCCTTTAGAGGTGTTAATCCCACTAAATCCTCACAACTCTGCGAGGCAGGCCTTATTATGCCCATTTTACAGGCAGGAGACAGAGGCTTAAGGAGATCATATCACTTGCCTGAGTTCTCATGTGGGTTAAGAGACTGATCTCAATTTAAACCCACTAGGCTGAATACAAAGCTACTTTCCTTGCTTGCATTGCTAAGATTTTTCCATTTTTCTTTTTCTCTCTGTTGGGCTGCATCTCACAGGCCTATAAGGCCTGTACTTGCCCAGTTTCAAGACTGAAGAAAGAGCCTGGAGTCAGTGATAGAGACATCAATGATATAATGGATAGGGGGGGATCCATCTTACAAATGTGAAGCAAAGTCCTGGACCAACACCCCCCATGTGATGGTGAGCAGGACAAGGAGGCAGCCTTCGCTCCTGGTAAGGGGAGACTGCCTGTTACAGGGGGAATAGAGAGCAGGTTGGCTCATTGGATACCAGGGAACCTAGCAGAGGGGCACGCCCTTCCTTCACTGCCTCTTGGACAAGAACAATCTCTGGTTGGGGCCTGTGGCAAGCAAGCATATAGGAAGGTCAGTCATGTGAACAGGGTGTAGGTGAAGCAGGCACTGATCCAGCATGGCATGTACAGAGAGCAAGAGAACAGCCATTTTGGGCTTCCCTGGTAGCTCAGTGGCAAAGAATCCACCTGCCAATCCACCTGACATGGGTTCAACGTCTGATCTGGGAAGATCCCACATGCTGACGAGCTACCAAGCCTGTGTGCCACAACTACTGCCCCTGTGCTCTAGAGCCGGGGCACCACAACTACCGAGCCCATGTGCTGCGGCTATCGAAGCCTGCGCACCCTAGAACTCGTGTTCCACAAGAGAAGTCACCGCAACGACAAGCCCTGGCATCACAAATGGAGAACAGACCCCACTCTCTGCAACTGGAGGAAAGCCTGAGCAGCAGTGAAGACCCAACAAAGCAGCAACAAAGCCAAAAATAAATGAATAAAATTATATTTAAAACACAAAACAAAAAAGAGAAGAGCTCTTCTGAATGGCCTGACCATACACTTTTTTTTTAAAACCTAGCAATATATGTAAACATTGTTCTTATCAATATATATACACCCCTGGGTCATGCTGCTGCATGACGGGTCTTTGTGTAGATATGCCAGATTTTAAACAACCAACTCCTTTTTGTTGGGCTTTCCAACGTTTCCTTTTTTCCTATTATAAACAATGCAGTTATAAATATCTTTATTCATCCACCTTTGCAAACATGTGTTTATTTCCAGAGGATAAATTCCAGATGGGAGAACTGCTTGGACAAAAGCTAGATACATTTTTAAAAGGGGCCCCTTTTCCAATCACATCAGCAGTACACATCGTTGCACATTCCCCCCACATTCATTATTTACTGAGTATTTTCACTTTTTAAAATTTGGACTGTGATTTAACACAGAAACAGAGACCCCTCTATGCTGGAAGCATCCTAGTATATTCCTCTAGATTTAGAACCAAACCATTCTTGCTTTAAAAAAAAAAAGAAAAAGTCCAAACACTCTGCCAAGGCCTGCTCTGACTTCGGCAGGCGGTGTAGAACCTCCAGAGAGACCAAAGAAGAGGAGAGGCTTGGAAGGAGGAAAGCAGATGAGGAGGACCAGGCTGTGGGCCCATGACTGACTGTCGTCGGGGAGGCTGCCAGGTTTTCCCAAGGGAAGCACTGTCCTCCTGGGTCTGAAGACTGGACAGCCACCTCTGCTGACCCATTCCTCAATACTTAGCTGTTCTTCACTGTCCCCAGCTCTCACTTTAACCAAGAAGTCAACACGAGTTCCCATACCTTCACTTTATTTGTCTGCCAACACTTTCAGCCCTCTGGGTCTATACTGAATACATCTCAAGGCCTTTTAAGTTGAGAAGTTTTAAACTAGACACAGTCTTATTGTTCTTTTACCTTGATGTTGTTTTCCTTCAACAGGCTGCAAACTGGCACCTGCAGGTAAAAAGGAAAGTAAGTGATTAAGGGAGCGCACTAAGGCGGAGCCTTGGGGCAAAGTAAACCTGAATGGAAGTTGAGTGATGAGTGCTCACCTGTGGCAACTTGGCTGTGAGTCGGCCGCATGCTGGCCCAAGGCAGAAACAGCCCCTGACATCCATACAGGGGTATTCTCCTGCCCAGGGCAGTTCTCTTTCTCATTTGGCTCATTGACACTACTTTGCTGGCAGAAACCTCTTTCCCCTCGTCTCAAGGCCTTATATAAACAGTAAGTGGTTCTGCCATACCTTTTTTTTTTTTTGCGGGGGGNTGCGGGGGGTGGGTGGGGGTGGGCATGTCATGTGGTATATGGGATCTTAGTTCCCTGACCCGGGATCAAACCCATGTCCCCTGCAGTGGAAGTGTGGAGTCTTAACAACTGGACCACCAGAGAAGTCCCCATCATACATTTTTATTCATATGTCCATTCACAAAATATTTACTGAGCACCTACCATATGCCAGGCACTGTCCTCGGGCTCTAGAAATACAGCACAAGACAAAACAGATGAAAACCCTGCCCTTGTGGAACTTGAAGACCAACCAACCAAATAAATTAATTAAATCGTAATCAGAAAAGTTAACTGCTCTGGAGGAAAAACAAAGCAAAAGATGGTAGAAGGAAATGTTGGAGCAGAAGGTGGAAAGGAGTGCTGAAACGGTAAATACTGTAGCCAGAGAAGCCCAGATATCTGAGAAGATAACTTGTGAACAAAGACCTGAAGGAAATGAGGACATGAGCCCTGAGAATAAGCAGGGAAGAAGCTTCCCAGGTGGGGTCAACAGCATGTGCAAAGGCCAGAAGGGAAGAGCCTGTCTGAGATGGTAAAGATCAGAGAGGAGGGGAGTGTGGCCAGGGAAGAGTGAGTGAAGAGGAAGTAAGGGAGGGGAGCAGAGAGGCAGTGAGAGGCTCCAGAGTGTGCAGAGTACTGAAGTTCATCAAGCACTGACCTTGAGCTTTGACTCAAAATGGGGGCCACTGGAAAGTTTTACACAGAGAAGGGACACGATGTGTCTCACACGTTAACAAGGTCACTCTGGATGTTGTGTTGAAATTAACCTGGGGAGCACAGGTCAAACCAGTTGGGAGGATACTGCAGAAATCCTGGAAAAGACAATGATGGCTTGGACTGGAGAGTTAGCATGGGGCGGGGGACAGGTATTGAGACCTAGTCAGATACTAGAAAGTAGAGCCAACAGGATATGTTGATGGGTTTAGAAGAGAAATATGAAATAAAGAGTCAAAGAGAACTCTGAGATTTTGGCTTGAGAAAACGAGAAGAAAGAATAGTCATTATCTGCATGCAGAAGCCTGACGATGGAGCATGTCTGGCAGGGAGATAAGGAACTCAGTTTTGTTAAGCATGAGATGACTTTTAGACACTGAAGTGGAGAGGTGAGTAGGCAGGTGGATATATGTGTTTGGAGTTCAGGGGAAGAGAGATCCAGACTGGAAATGAAGATTTGCAAGTGCTCAGCATGTAGTTCTTATGAAGCCATGGTATAGGAGGAGGTCACCAAGGTGGGTAACTGTCAATATACAAGCTGCCTTCAGTTCATGAAGACTGTGTGTATGCGTAGTTTCTCAGTTGCGTCCGGCTCTTTGTGACCCCATGAACTGTAGCCCGCCAGGCTCCTCTATCCATGGGGATTCTCCAGACAAGAATACTGGAGTGGGTTGACACGCCCTCCTCCAGGGTGATCTCAACCCAGGGATCGAACCCAAGTCTCCCACATTGCAGGCGGATTCTTTACCCTCTGAGCCACCAGGGAAGCCCTCATGAAGGCTAAGCTCCATTCAATTGCTCAGCAAAGGAGACTGAGAAGGAGTAGCAAGTACAATAGGAAGGAAACCAGGAGAAAGGGTTTCGAGGAGATGGAGCACTTCACTGTGATAGGTCAAGTCATATGAGCACAGAGAATTAATAACTGGATTTAGTGTCTTGGCAGCACAGGCGATCTCGGTCAAGGGCAGAGTCAGCGGAATGGCTGGGATGAGAACCTGACTGGAACAGGTTCAAAAGAGAGGAGCCCAAGTCGTGAGCTAGAGGACAGATGGGGCTGGCAGCCTCAGGAGCTCTGGAAGCGAAGGGGTAAGGGATGATCAGATAAACTGCTTCTAGCTTCACTTCACTCATTTATAAGCTGTAAAGCACAAAGCTGGTACTTCCACAACACACGTAACAATTTGGCAGCTGCTGTTACCAAGTTGGACCAGGTTCTCCATGTTGCTGAGCTTCAACCAGTTCTGGTCCCCAGAGAGAGTAATCAGCTTGTCTCTAGACTCCCAAGATGTTAATCCCACTTTCTCCAGGTCACCTCGAGCCTTAGGATCAATGCTCACAACTTCAGAGGGCTGCTGAACAGCCTGGTCTGCTTCTTATAGACTGCTCAGGTCTCTTCTGATGGGAAGTCAGAGGAGCAAGACGGCAGGGGTCCTGCCCCCACAAAGCCTGCCTTCTGGTGGAGAGGATGAATAACCACCCAGAACAGATGAGCAGCAGGTCACTGCAGACATAGTTAAGTGCAATGAAGACAATAAAATGGGGTGAGGGAGGGAGAGAGAATGTGGGAGGGGCCTCCTTCAGCCCAGGTGTGTGATCAGGAGGCCTTTCTGGCAGACGACATTTCAGATGAGACCCAGGGAAGCCTGGCGTGCTGCAGTCCATGGGGTTGCAAAGAGTCAGATACAACTGAGTGACTGAACTGAACAGAGGGCAGCTCATTCTCCTCAAGCTGTGCCCAATCCCACACTGCTCTTGAGCTTTCAAACCTCCCAAGGCTAGGTAGGGACTGGAACCAGCTAAGTGCAGGTCCAAAAAGAGATATTCTCTTCTTTCTCTAATATATATTGTGGGGACTCTTCTCTCCATGATTAGAAAATACACACATTTTTTTCACTGAAAGATGTGGAAATACTGAAAACAGAAGTTTCAATTCCACTACCCAGAGATCGTTATTGCTCATACTTTTTATTTTTACTGTTCACATTTGGTGTGCATCTTTCTAGACATTTTTCTACACACATATACACAAATTTTTAAAAGACGGGATCATGTCGTATATTCTGTTTTGTGTACATTGTTTTAGTCATGAGTTGTGACTAAATTATAAGCACTCATATAATTTTCTTCTCCATATGATTCTTAATGGCTGCATAGTATTTCATTGAACGCATACTTTTATCACATTTTATTTAATTCCAAAACACTGGCCATTTAGATTGCTTCCAGGTGACTGCTACTATGAGTAAATACTATAATGAGTAATCCTATATGTATCTTTTTTCTTTAGTGGAGGAGGCTTGCAAATTTCTCATTGTTTCCTTGGGTTAAGTGAAAATGCCACTGCCCAGTGGGAGTGCCACAGATGTCACGGCATCAAGAGGCAGCCTGAGGCTGAGGGCAGAGGGCGGGCAGGGCTGAGGCCTGCACCCAAGAGCCCCAGAGCCTGATTTAATCCTCTGACATAGCCCAGGCCTGACTTCCTCCCTAGAGGACCTGAGGAGTAGGAAAATAATAGGCCCCTCCCATAGGCCAAGTGAAATCCAAAGGGATTCCCCACCTGAGCCAGGAAGGGGGTGTCTCTCTCTGACCTGAGCACAGACAGCACCACCCCTCCCTTGAAATCCCCTTGGGGAAGCTCCTCCGTCCACCCCTTCCTGGGGAAAATATCTGAGGGGTCAGGCAGGCTATCTTTCTTTGAAGCAGGGCTACTGGGGTGCTTGTGCAAGAGAGGGTTCTACAGAAATAGGAGCTCCTCTCTTACTCCTGATCCAGCCTTGCTCCCGAATCCCTGAATTCCTCAGAGGAGCCGGCAGGGACAGTTTGTGCCTCCCATGTGAGGAATGTCCTCAGAGACAGTGAGTTCTGGAGTGAGTGGGAAAAGCACAAGCCCAGGAAGTCATCAGACCTGGGTTTGAATTTGAGCTCTGGCACATTTCAGTCTCATCTTGAGCAAGTGACTTCACCTGTGGAATGTAAGCTCTAGGAGGGAGGGACTTGGATCTCTCTTGTTTACTATTGTATGTCTGTAAAATTTAGCATGTAGTAGGTGCTCAATAAATCCCATGCCATCGTATGCTCCTTTTGGAGCCTCAGTTTGTTCATCTGTAAAATGGGGTGATAACACCTCACTGGTTTATTGTGAATTAAAAAATAAAACATGGGTAAATACTTAACACAGTGTCAGGTATTCAAGAAACTCTAGCGGCCAAAGCCCTGGAGAGGTGCTTCCACCATGCTCTGCACACAGCGCTGACATGAAGCTCTGCAGTTCACCCTTGTTAGAATTAGTTTACCTTTACTCTGCTCACAACTGCATCCCAAACATGCCTCTGGTGTGGTACACACTACACTGTGCGTGCTTGTCCAACTACCCCGTTAGGCTTAGGGCAGTTTAAGGACAAGAATTCTGTCTGTATCCTCTGTGTCTGAACAACAATAAGAAGTAATAAGCAAGGTTGTTATTCCCATTCTACAGATGAGGAAACTGAGGCTAAGAAAGGTTAGATGCCTTGCCCTCGTTGCACAGACTGGGAGTGGCAGAGCAAGATCTAAACCCAGTTCTGATTTCTGGGCCCCTGCTCACTTTTAGGTGACTCTCTTACAAATAGTGTGGGGGTAAGAAGGAAGCAAGCTAGTTCCCAGGGCCTCCGAGGGAAAAGACCAGCAGAACTCCAAGAGGAATGGGGTCTTCAGGGAGCTGGAGAGTTGTCAGGGCACCAGCAGTCACCGGAGCCCCCTCTTATCCTCCTATGGATCACCATGCATGCAACAGCTGCAACCCCCAGAGGCCCGTGGTTTAGCTGGTCTGCGACAGGCTGGTGCAAAGGTGGGGACCCCAGGCACCACCTATCAGTGTGGAACCCAGCCAGCAAGGGGCCTTAGTTTCTCCTGCCCAGAGCTGAGGGTCTTGGCCCCACAACAGGGGTGGCAGCTTCAGGGCATCTGCTCAGGG